CCCTCCTACATATTTATCTCGGAAGTGTAAAGGCACATCTCCCGGCCGGACTTTCACAAGATGCTTGCGTCTATTGCAAACTGTGTCAAGTAATTTGCGAATTCTTGTTATTTAGGAACTAAAAAATTCAATGGCCAAGGCTGTCACAAAGTGCCACCTGGACCTAATAAACAACATACAATTCGGACGGGAGTGTACAGTGCTACTCAAATTAACCGCAAGGCCTTAAGATAACGATAGGAGATTAAGTGGCGCTAGTCTACCAAATCAGAAACTGTCAAAATTAAACTTGAAATTAAACTAAGTTGACTTTAGTATGGTGCACGTTTCCTCTTTAAATTTTTGAGGCTTGAATGTTACACATAAATTTACACAAGCTAAACTTTCATAAGTACTCCGTAAAACTCAATTCCGGATAGATAAATTCCAAACCTCCCAGAGGAATGCCGACCTGTTTGAAGGATCCGGAAGTGACGAAAAGCTCCGACATTGCCTTTGACTGACCACGTGCCTGTTACAAACCCTCCATTACCACTCTGATCATATGTCCTCGGTTTAGTGTTAATTTTCTTCCAATCCTTTCCATCAATGGACCCTTGCAGTTCCCAGTGACGGAGAATTGAATCGCGTCGTATCTTCCCGTGTCTTAAGGAGCAGTGAGTGAGAAACAAGAGGTAATTCTCGCCTATATAAACACGCCACCAAGAGCCTTCTATTTCAGCCGTTCCACAGGTTTTGCCCCCTTTGCGGATGAGTACGTCATCGGCGTTTCCCGGCCCATCAGATGACCTGGTGGCTATAACGTTGTCTGAGTTATCCTGTTTTAAAGCACAGATGACTCCAGGAGTGTCAAAGTCGTTTCCTTTGGGTATGAAAACGCCTGAGAAATATAGAAATTAAAAGTTGATTGGTAAGAACAGAAGTTTATATTGCTTCTGTCAAGACTGGTAGGAAGAGAATCACGGTCTGTTCACTCAGGTTGTATTTCCAACTACGAAATACCAAAAAGTTAATAATTTAAACATGGAAAATAAAAACGAAACATCCACTAGGTAGCAGAGGAAGCACTTAACGAATGTCGTCTTAAGAGTAAAATGATCGACTAACACAAACTCACAGGTATGTCTCATACACACATAACACCTAAAAATAATACAAACAAAATCAGGAGCCATAATCAAGGACGGAGATCGTAAGTCGTGGGATCCGCGCGCACCTATGATATAAGTGGGACAATTTTACTTTGTAACATGGCGCGCGCGCTAGTCGTATCTAATTTCTATTGAGCTATCATGAACACAATCTCTATGTACGAACAGCCGTGCGTATATAAGATGGCATGTGCAGTTTCAATTTAGCTGCAAAATTTCCGTCGAGTTTAGTGCGAGTTCTTTTTGTTCAAGTTTCGGCAATGTGAAGATTATTCTGAACAATCCAAACTCCACTTGGAGCCTTTGACTTTTGCCAAACTAAGATATTTACTTACACGTGAGTATTTTGACTTTGTTTGTCCACATTCTCATCGAGTATTTTTAACTTTGTCTGCCTATATTTTCATTATAATTAAATCGAAGAAGCGAATTTTTCATTGACAATTTTAGAAGCCAGGTTAAGCGTTTTCGCGCAACCGTTGCTCAAATGATTGTGGCGTGTTTGGATCCTAATGACCTTCGTTTTTCTTCACTGTGCATTGTGAGAACTTTGTAGTCCATCACAAATAAAACATGTTTTAGCAGCCAAGTTGTTGTCGCCATGTCATAAAAGAATTGGTTCATTCTTTTAGCTGTGCGTATATCGAGTTATGGATTCACTTGGGAAGTTTGGAGAGCACTCAAGAAGCTAGAATCGCACTCGGCTGTCGCCTTGAGTGACTCTTACGCTTCTTTCATGCTCTCCAAGCTTCCCGCAGGGACTAAGAACCAGGGCGCTTATATGATATGTAGTCTTACGCTCTGAGTTAATGAAAAAGTGAGTTTTTCAAGATCGAAAACAAGACTTCACTTTCGCGCTGTGAATGAATAATAAGATCTGCTCGCGTTAGTTATAAGCTTACGCGTATGCTTTCGCGTTTGTTCTGACTTAAGAATATAGCAAAAAAAATCTCTCCTCTGGTATCGAGTTAATTTGTGAGTTTCTCAAACAATGCTTAATCATAACCAAGACCTGTTTTCGATGGTTTGTTATTGTTTCTGCTTGTTTGGCGAGTTTGCAAAAGTTTTTGAAAGGGAAGTCTGACGAGTACAATTAGCTGATTTGCATAGTGCAATGCGGGCACTTTCAAGTCCGAGTCGGTGTTTTTAAGGTCATTCCACTGAAGTAGAACCTGCACTGAGATTTTTGTCAAACTTTGCCAATTGACTGTTTATATTGTAGGGACTTAAATTTGGAAGTAAAAATGAGGGGTCCTCATGTTCGTTTAGGAGCAACAGCACTTTGTTTATACCATATAAATCCTTACAATAGCACCATGATTATGGTCACGATTGCTTGCTAAATTCATGTTTCCGACGATTGTTTCTCGCTCAACACTGTGAATTGGCCCATATTTATTTTACATAGAGAAATTTATTATTCAATTCAACACAACAGAAAAAAAAAACGATAGGTCACCGTACTCGTTTTCGAGAAAATGACGATTTACCTCTATGGCGAGGTCCAGCCGCAAAGAAAAAGCCGCCATTTTTTAATGCGCGAGCGCTAATCACGCGTGAAATTATGCGCAGTAGGGATGCGCAATACAATACTGGGGAATGACCTTAATTGTCAACAAATCTTGACAAATGTTTCCTTCCTTATCTTATGTGCTGAGATGCTGCAACAATTTTCACCAACGCCAAAGGCTACTAAAATCATGTGTGCTTCTTTAACATGATGAAGTTTTATACTCCGAAAATAATAAAACAGACAAGGAGTTTTGATAACTCGACCAACAAAATCGAAATTGTTGTTCGAAGTTGAATAAAGAAAGAGTCATCGTAACTTTGCTGATTGTTTCTGCTATATTCACATATTTTCAGCTAAACTTTTAATATGTTTTCACACATTTATCAACCTTGAACATATTTTAAAACTATAAAGATACTGTCTGAGGTCGATGAATGTTTTCACACGGAAGTGCGGAAGTCCAATTTTTCATGTTTACTGACTGCACAAAACACGCATCGGCGGGCCCTATTATCCATCGACAACAGACAATTTATTAGATTTTAACACGCACAAAACTGAGCAGTATCTAAAGACGTAAACTTATTGGGCCTTGATGAAACATCAAGCGTTGCTTACAATTCAGGCGAAACTCAAACTTGCAATTTTGTTTTCCTTTTCGGTCGCGATAGACTGGCGAAATCCCCGCAAACGTCAGGTAAGAGGAGGGAAACTTTGAAGTTATGAAACACCGCTATATCGAAATATATCCAACTAGTTTTTCACTGTGTTATGGAAAAGCTGTTAATCTTCATTATATGTAAAATTTAGAGTAGAGTAATGTGGAGCTCTTGTAAAAGAAGCATCGGAACATAACTTGGTCAGTGATATAAAGCGGGACTTATCTAAATGCGGCACGGTCTTACTCCACTCAAATTGGAGCAACTTACGACGAAAATACTCAAGCAAAATTCCAATAGACATAAACGTATTGAGTTGTGGACAAGAAAAACAAAAAAAAAATCGGGAATATTAGGCCCCATTTTCCCGCGCTACATCCGCAAAAATCCACCCAGCATCTACGTGCGTGTGCCGCACGCGACGGCGCAATTTGTTCTGAAAATAGAAAAATTGTCCATATCATAGGGACAACCCCAATACTAGAAATGGCGCGCGCTTACGGTCTCCGTCCCCGATTATGGCTCCTGACAAAATTCAGTAAAAGAGCGTTTTTGCCCCGAATGAAATCTCCACAACTGATTGTAAGTTCTTATTTTCTTGCAACGATGTATAAAATAATTATTGGATATTTTTTTTTGTGATGCTTAGAATAATAAAAGTCTTTTTAGCGTTATTATCCTCAACTCTCCGCTTCGGTTGAAAACACTTGCTTACCTTATCTGAGAATCACTTAAACCCTCACACAATATTAACTAAATAGTTCGTATAGTGAGATCGTCCGGGTGAACTGTAGTTCTGAAAAGAACTGTTGTTGGTGCCCTCGTCCGGACGATCTCACTAGCTATACGAACTACTGATACTCCTGGGTTCAAACCGTTTACTATTAACTAAATATGAAGAGTTAACTGATAAACATGACACGAGCGTGGGACAAAGAAAAAATATGAGTCCCCGACAGGAATCGAACACCGCGGGCGCTCTATCCCCCAAGCTACGAGTACTCATGGAGAGCAAGGTCATTTAACTGAGTTCATATGTGACAGGCGTCCTGCATACTGCCATAGTACTCTAGGTGAGATCACAAAAACTACAATTAACAACCAATCCTGATAAGAGAGATAAAAATATCAATACTGAAAAATTATCCTGGAGTGAATATTCCTAACCCATAACCCTTACTATAATTACATATAAACAAACAACACAACCAGAACATTTGTGGTGAAAAGGGGTAAGGGATGAACCCCTCCAATGAAGGATTCTAGGTCACTTTTTCCTAGGGGTATAAGGATCGCCCTGGGAGTGATAATCCCCCAGGGTACTCAATACGAGTTGGTAATCCTCAAGAGAGGGTGATAATCCCCCAAGGGTACTGAGTGAGAGGTGATCATGCTCTCTAGGGGGTGATAATCCCCCAGGATACTCAGAGGGAGGTGATAATCCTCTCTAGGGGGTAATAATCCACCAGGGTATGGAGAGTTGATAATCCTCTCTAGGGGTCGAATCCCCCGGGTTAAGGAATAATAAGAGTCTAAGAGGAGAAGGGTGACCTCTATGGGAGCACTTCATYCCGAAACCCATCTTTATTAAACACCAATAAAGCTCAATACTTTTAAACTGAAATTATCACTGTAATGAGGGAAATGACCTCACAGTTATTAATTATTTACAAAACCTCTGCAAACCTGCCACCTGGTTTATTATTATTGTATAATTTCATTGTCAAACTTTATAAAGTCATTATTTGGAGTTACTGTTTAAACCTTAGTTCTCACTACAATACCTTTGTATTCTAATACACGTACCAGAGCTACTTGTATTTCAACGAACACATATCTACTTGTCTCATTTCATAGAGAGAGGGATAAAACAAGGAAGGGTGGGAGGGAAATTTTGGTTCTGGAGTAATAATTATTAATAGTAATAATAATTATATTATTGGCTCTCGATTTCTATGCGTTCTCGTCAACTATCAAGTGATATAAATCTAGCTCAATCAAATTGTAGAATAGAAACACGAGTGGAAGTTTGGGAGAACGAGAAATGCTGTGGGAACACAAGCCGACAGGCGAGTGTTTCCACAGCTTTTCGAGTTCTCCAGAACTTCGGTAGGGTGTTTTTATCAAACAGTTAGATATGAGCTGGAGATTTGTATTTAAATAAAGAGTGTTTCTATCGAGGAACTTTCGGCTGATAGTTGCCCCGCAAAACTTTGATGTCCTTTAAAAAAATATTTGCCCGAGAAGCGAGGCTTTGAGAGCATATAAACAAGTTTTAAGAACATCAAATTTCCAATGGGCAACTATCGTACCGATAGTTCCGAGACATGAACACTCTATTGTCTTCATTGTTCACCACTAAATTTTCTTCCGCGCCAGTTAAAAAATCATATTGAATTATTTTCAAGTTTTTTAGATGAAAGCCGTCAAATTCAAATGTAAAATTTGAAAAAGAAAACGTACAAAAACCCACTGAATACAATTTCAATTGTTTGTTTTCTAAGCCCGCTTCTTTACAGAAAAAAAATTCAAGACGACTATTATCCATCCGAGTATTTTCCTCGGACGGGCACTGTGGGCTGAAAGTGTCTCTCCGCGGATGAACACTGTCGCGTCACGAGATCAATTTAAACCAACAAGAATCGGAGAAAATTTAGTGGTGAACTATCACGCATAGGTATCGAAAGCCGATAATCTAATTGTTTTAGTATAAATCTACTACTCGTTCAAAACTATCTAAATCCTCTTCACAGACTCTTCGAAAACGTAAACATGAGGCCGTCATATTGTTAACAAGCGCACACTGCTTCGCTACTCACTATCTATCACAGATTATAATCCATCAAATATTTTCGCTCGCGCGCGATTGGTCTAAACACGTCGCGTGACCTGATATTCCCCAGCTCAAACTGGGGAATATCCGAGAATATTTCCCAATGTTCAAAACTGCGTGCGTTGCGAAAAAGATCCGAAGAATAATAAACACAAAAGCCACCATTTTGGGCGAAAATATACTCGGATATTTGTCCTTGGACATTATCTGTTTCTCGAAGCTCACAGTTTTCCTCAAGCTACGTTCTCGGAAAACTGTTCACTTCTCGGAACAAAAAAATGACCGCGAACAAATATCGGAGCATATTTTCGCGACGAATGGAGGCTATGGTTTATTTATAACACAGATAGGACACTGCGCGCGCTCTGATTGGTCAAAAACCCATGTTTCATCAGAGTATAAAACAGAAAAAGTGTGTTTTATTGTTTTTCGCGTGTAAAATCCATATCATAAAGCAAATGAAGAAGCCTAAGCACTCGAGAAATGTAGAAAACACGAGCAGCAGGCGAGTGTTTTCTACATTTCCCTCGTGTTCTCGAATGCCCGTCGTGTTTTATCACAGTGTAATACACGGCTTAGGCTTCTTTATTTGTTAATTATAAAATAACTGAGATACTACGCACGCTCTGATTGGTCAATAGAGTTGCTAAACCTATGTTCCATTGTACCGGTAAACCACGATTTCCGATCTATGGCAGCTCTACGCGGGAACTAGAGAACTCTGAACTATAGCGATAGCAAATGTGATGAACAGTTATGCGTTTCACTGGCTGAGATATCAATAACACGAATATCTTTTTATTCAACGTACACATGAAAACTTGCAAGGAAAAAAGGGAACAGAAGTTAGTCGTCATATCTTTAAGTTTATCTTTTATTCCACGGCAAAAATTTTACGCCGACTCCAATTACGCTTGAGATTAAAATTAAGGAAGTTTTGAACCCTTTTTTCGGTGCTTTCCACGGTCAGTTGAGGACTAAGCCAGCTGGGCCTGACTGATCAATTTGGGTTGTCAAAAAAGCAGGGAAAATATTTCTTTCTATCAGAGTTTAAACTCGATCCATGCACGCATAACACGATCAGCGAATTTGGTTTCCACAAGCGTAGCTTTCAAGCAATGGTTTTCATTTAGCAAAGTACAGTGAAACACGGACTTCATAGCCTTTCGCATAGGTAAATAAATTCTGAATAAATTTCGGAAGCAGCGTTTCAGTAACTAACCTTTCTTCCATTCGCAAAACTTTGGAAAGTTGTCCTTAAACACTGCGTTGAATCACTTCGCCAAGCACATGAGGTTTGGACTACTTGCACACTTCGTACAGCCTTTTACTTTCGTGATGACCGATTCTACCTGCGAATCCCTGCATTTCCCCGTCAGAATACTTTTGAGTAAATTAATAGCGGAGCTCCGGCGGCCCAAAGGGCCACCAAGCGGAGCCCCATACTCATATAGGAAAGAAAAGTACACCCATGAATGGATTCTTTTCATGGTTATCATGGCTAGCGGTATTACTCGCCGTGGGCGCGTACGCACGACGGCGACGACGGCGACGGAGTTGCGCAACATGACGGCCATTATCTAGCTAAAAAGGTTGACAGAAACATTTATAGCCTCCTTCTTTGATATTGGACATCCATGTTATGGTCAATTGACACCTGTCAAAAGAAGTTATCCGCTGACCAGTATCACGTGACCATATCGCGGGCCCAACGTTACAGCTCATCGAGGTCACGTGTTTTTTTTCTTAAGTTGACTGCTGACCAGGTGCTGTTTTTTTTTTTTTTATTAGATCGCAGGCTCGTGTCAGATTAACTTACTGTAAACGGAGCCGCGTTGTTAGGAAGCCGGTTGACGCTAACCCAGGATTAAAGTTAACAGAAGTATAAACAGTTATTTTATACAAATGCTTTTCACTGCTTTTGTGTTGTGTGTTTTGAGATTATTCAAACTCAAAACAGAAGGCCAAACAATATATAGAAAACCGCACTGAAAGTTACAAAATTCAAATCAAAGTTCTCACTTTTCACCGATAAGCTTTTCCTTTCCTTTCTTAAACCTTTCTTAGCGTCAAATGTTTTCGTCGCTTTGCTCTGCGGATTTCGTGTCCGGCGCGGAGTCTGTGCTTTCATTCTTTCAGTAGCTGTGATTGGTTCTCGCGTCATGCCATAAATTTGATGAGAATAAGCAACTTGATCACGAAAGTACAATAAATTTTCCTCTCATTGACAGACTTTTTCCATGATTATTTCATAAAAGCGATAGACCATTCTTTCTATGGGTTTACCGGCGCAATAAACTACTTGGGATGTTGGGAGAACACTCGCAAAGCTTGTAAATCGCAAGCCGTTAGGCGAGTGTTTTACAAGCTCTTCGAGTGTTTTCCCAACATCCCAAGTGGTTCGTTGCGCAGTAAACCCATGGAAAGAGAGGTCTATTGCCTAAATAGATGGTGGTAGCGTAGCCAATCAGAGAGCGGCATTCGTGATAGAACGCTAGAGGATTTATACTAAAACTTGATAGAAACACGGTTGATGATTTTTATTACTTCTTAAGGTCATTCCTCAGAATTGCATTGCGCATCCCTACTGCGCACGATTTTCGCGTCATCAGCGTGCGCTCACGAGCACGTGCACGTACAAAACATAAACAAAATGGTGACTTTTTCTAAACGACTCGGCTTGCGAGAGACAAATCATCGTTTTTTCCTCGGAAACAAGTACCAGGACCTAACGATTTTTTTATGTAGTTTGAATGCAGAGACCACCTTCTTTCTAGTCAGTGAATATGGACCAATTTCTACTGCAGAGTGAAAAATTATCACGGAAAATGAGAGCATAGCTAGCACTCGTAAAAGATAATATGTTGCCCCAGAACACTGCGTACTTGGAACATACTGCCCATATGTCTGTCGACTAAATACGAGTGCCTTTATAATGAAACGTACATCAAATCGGTCCTTAACATTAATGCAATACATCCGTTGTTGTATTTCTCGCTTAACTTTCTCCCTACTTTTCTGCTTTGTTAAATCCGTGAGGCCCGCTTACACTACATTGCACATTTTCTAGCGCAGGATTCTAATCATATCCTGCACGTATTTCATGTGGATGTTTTATTGCTCACACCCTACAGTAGGAGCGTACTTTGTACTGCCGATATTTAGGATAAAATAAGTTCCATCTTCGTATCTTGTAGTTTAATCCTGACGAAGTCTCACTAGCAGATGGAACCGGTCTATTAATAAACTCAGTTGTACAAGATCGTTAGTTGTTACTGCGTGTTGCCCACAAGTATTCTTATTTCAAAATTGTCAAAGCATATTATTTTAGGAATTATTGGGGTTTATTGAAGGTCCTCCTTCTACTAAACGAATACGGGGACCCCTTTTTAATTTCAAGTTTTAAGTTCCCTTGATATAAGCAGCCAACAGGTAGAGTTTGAAAGAAATCTGTTGCGAGTTCTATTTCGATGGAATTACCTTAAATACCTGTGAGCTAACAATGCATGGCCTGAAAAACGACGTTTGGTCAAATTGCATTGACATTTAGCTTTGTTACGAGTGTCTATACAGAGCAGGATAGTTCCCACACAGAACTCCAGATAGTCGATAACAGCAACAAACTGGTTTATTTGACTTCTCAAATCATAGCACTGAGATTCCTCGCCGCTTGGACGGAATTCACGCTCTTATCCAAATACACCTGGAGATTCCAGAAATTTCTCGATAGAATTAAATTTGAAGTATTATATGGTTTCTAGGGGCGGATTAGAACACTCCTAAAATTTGGGAACACTCGCGTTCGAGGTGAGTTGATATTTCCTTACTTTGATTTCATCCTACTCGACAATATTCCTGATACAAAGGATTTTCAGGTGCCAGTTACGTTCTCATTCCGTCTTTTACATATTCTTAGTGGAAATGAACCCAATTCTTCTTGTTGGTCTACCAATTAAGTGGTAAAGGTAAAGGTAGAGTCTCCATACCAGCCAAGTGGCCCATTAGGCCGGAGCTTATCTTTTTTCGATTTCAGTAGCATGAAGCGACTAAAAGTGTTTCTACTCCCCTCTGGAAGGATGCTAGTACATCGCATGGTTACCCGTAGTATTAAACTAGTGGGTACCCATTTATACACCTGGGTGGAGAAATGCATCGTGAGATTAATTGTCCTGCCCTAAAACACAACACAAGAGCCGGTACCTGGTCGACTGTCTGATCCGGAGACGAGCGCACTAACCATGAGACGACCGCGTCTCCATTGGTTCCCACGCCGGGAAGCTTAGTGGATTACCTAAGCAAACATGCCCTGGAGAACGTATAATTACGAGCTGTTTTCAGTTATCCCGAGAAATGTTTACTGTTCTGAAACCCTCAATATTATAACATTGTCAAAATTACACATTTCCTCTTGAAAAAATAATTGCAGCGGTGATACTTACCGCCCTCAAAGGTCCTGCATTTGATGATTTCCTCCTTTAGAGCGGTCCTCCATTTGATGATTTCCTCCTCCAAAGCTCTGCACCTCGTTTCTTTCTCGTCAACTTCCTTCTTAAGTCGTTCCATTTCAGTACAGTCGTGTCGTGCCTGATTGAGCAGTTGATGATGTTCAGCCTTTATTTTATCATGTTCTTTAGTTATATTTTCCAAGGTTGATGTTAGATCATCATTCTCCTTTTCCAGGTCTCTTTTCTTTTTCATTAACTTTTGATTAAAGTCAGCGGATTTTTTGTTTTCCTTCTTAATTTTATCTCTGCTTTGCTCGATTTTGTTTTTCTCTTCTTTCGCTAGTTTATTGGCTTCCTCTAAACTCTTGATTTTCCTCTCCATGTTCGTTATTAATGCGTCCAAATCAGCGCACCCTGAACAAGTTTGCTTTCCTAAATTGTACAGATCCAAGTTAATACATAACACCTTAGTTTCTCAATCCAGGGACCGCGGGGGAGGGGGTGGGGGTTGACGGGGCTTTAGCCCTGCAACTTTCAGTTTCTAGCTTGAGTTGATTTTAGAGGGTTCTACATGGCCTGGCTAATATATGGGTTTTACCACTTGAAATCAACAAAACGGTGGAGCAGTGATCCCTGATGCTTGTTCGTCTTAGCCAGACTTTTAATTTAGCCCTACTTCTTTAAAATGGTCTCCGCGGTCCCTGCAATCGCATCAGTGGAATTGTTGCTTTTTTGAGATACTAACGGTCCCAATGCAAATGCTGTAATCTGAACGTACACCGCCACTATCCTGCCGCGAATATCAGTCACTACACTTCACCACTAAATTTACCTTTGTGGTTACTGGCAAAATGGATCACGAGGCCGTAAGTTATCAATTGAATCTACGGTAAGAAAAAAGTTCACGGCTGTACATTTTACCACAATATCACGCCAGCCTTACACAGGCCATAAAGTACACGAAAGCCATTTTTGCAAAATTTGTCCCTGTACCAACAACATTATGTATGCTAGGTTTGAAGATTTCAAAACTTTTCTGTACGTTTTTATGAGCGTTAATAAAGTTTTCGTGCACTAAGAATTATGGGTAAATCTAGCAGTGCCCATCTTTTTTTTTCTACGGAGGATTATGGTATGGACTACCACTATTACACACCTATACCTGGCTTGTGAAAAGTTAACCGTCTCAACAACTGTGCACCAAGACAATCGCCTTTGAAAACAGAGTCAGGTACAGGTTCAGGAGTCATGGAGTCAAGGAGTACTTAAGAGTATCTCTGTAAAAGCGGTCCGGTCGATTTTGCCTGAGACACAGATTTCGCTCATTTCTTGTGTGTTGTAAGACATTCACGTACTTATACTAAAACCACAATCCGTTTGATCGGATCTCTTTATTTTTCAGAGTTTTACGGAAATTAAAT